CAGAACGAGCAAACCAAACTAAAACAAGTGGCTAAAATATGCACAGAAACAACAATGAAATGGTTAGATGCTCTACCCGTGGTGTTGTTCTCCATCAGGTCCTCACCTAATGAACAAACTGGGCTAACAGGGCCGTCCGGTCACTGCTCGGCTGAGTGCTGGTTGCGAGCCAAGCTTGGATTCACAAACGGAGCAGATGAGGTCGTGCATTCACCAGCTGCAGTCTGCTGTGAAGTTTTTGTCTCACAATGAACACGAAGTTCTTGTTAAAGAACCGACGGTGGAAGAACCTGAGCAGATAGCAGAAGGAGAGTCAGTGTACAGAAAGGTTTTCCATCAGACGTTGGACGAGCCAAGGTGGATCGGACCTTTCAGAGCTCCAAGAAATACAGCCTAAGAGTCTGGTTGGATGATGAACACACAAAGAGAAGCAGAATTTGGCACAAATCACACTGTGGAAAAGGAGAACCAAGCCCAGTTAGAAACCTCAGAGAAATCAGGGAGCACCTGAGGCAAAGATTGATCCAAAACATGACAACACATCCACAAAACACTGGATCTTTCTGACGGTCCTGGACTTCATCTCCATAGCAGTGACCTTTCCACTGCTCTGGATGCAGAGCAGAGCTCTGGTAGTTAATAACAATCTGGACCAAACTACCATCCAAATTAAAATCCCACAAGAAAAATTTGAAATGTAAGAACAAACCAAAAGAGACTTTCCTGAACGGGATGATGATAAACGTGTGAAATTATGGAGGAATAGAATTAACCTCCACTGCTGACAGTAGTTCTCTGTGCTCAGTAATTAACTGTGGCAGAACAGACAGTGGGCAGATAGAGGTCTCCCCCCACTACTCTAACTGGGTCTTAGTACTGCGGACAACCGGGCCTAATGGATGGACAGCACCCAGCCGTTACAATGAAGGGATAAAAAGAAACATTTCTCTAATCCGGGGGCAAACAGTAAAGTCCAATACTCGAGGACACAACCCACTCTTATTGTCTATCAGAAACCTTAAACAAGACCCTTCTCCAAAAACAGAACAAAAAGGAAGTGTGGACACCACAGGATGGGAAATATGATAGTATGGCTTTTTACTTTACCTTAAGAGTTGATGTCTCGGGATATGACCTAATGCGTCTAATAAAAATAATGTTTTATTTTATTATTAAATAAAGTTTTATTTTGGGAATAAAAATTCCCCTCCCCCTCAAACAGGCGACTGAGGAGCATTCATTGCACCAGGCTCTGAAAGTTTCTTCCCTGCAGCTGTCAGACTGCTGAACTCCAGCTGCACTTAATTTAGCTTCATCTTACTTTTTAAAAAACTTATAAAATTTATATATATATATATATATATATATATATAAACCGGATTCCAAAAAAGTATGGACACTAAACAAATTGTGAATAAAAACTGAATGCAATGATGTGGAGATGGCAAATGTCAATATTTTATTCGTAATATAACATAGATGAC